GGTGTGTTAGTGTGTGTTGCGCTGGTCTGAGTGGATCAGACACAGCAGTGCAGAGTTTTTAAACACCTCAGTGTTGCTGCTGGACTGAGAATAGTCCACCAACCAAAAACATCCAGCCAACAGCGTCCTGTGGGCAGCGTCCTGTAACCACTGATGAAGGACTAGAGGATGACCAACACAAACTGTGCAGCAGCAGATGAGCTATCGTCTCTTACTTTACATCTATAAGGTGGACCGACAAGGTAGGAGTGTCTAATAGAGTGGACAGTGAGTGGACATAGTGTTTAAAAACTCCAGCAGCACTGCTGTGTCTGATCCACTCGTACCAGCACAACACACACTAATACACCACCACCACGTCAGTGTTACTGCAGTGCTGAGAATGACCCACCACCCAAATAGTACCTGCTCTGTGAGGGTCCATGGGGGTCCTGACCACTGAAGAACAGGGTAAAAGGGGGCTAACAAAGTATCAGAGAAACAGATGGACTACAGTCTGTAACTGTAGAACTACAAAGTGCACCTATACAGTAAGTGGAGCTGATAAAATGGACAATGAGTGTAGAAACAAGGAGGTGGTCATAATGTTATGGCTGATATGATTATATATAACATCAAGTATGATATTATTGATGGTTTCACATATACTTAAAGATTTTACAAACTGTATAGATCAAGCCAGATTAATAAAAGAGGAGAAATGCATATTAATCAGATCAACAACACTTCTAGAGCAGTTTTTATTTCTGCTCTAATGAAGACTGAGTAGAGCGTGTTTTTACACTGTAATGTGAACTTTACATTGTAATACTGTAATATCAAGTTTTTATTGTTGTACAGTATTTATTTAGTGTGCTGAAAAATAGCTGTAGCTCAATAATAAGTAATTAAGTAATTTTATTTGTATAACATCTTTTTAAACAGGTAACAAAGTGCTTAACAACATCAGCACAGAAAAGAATAAAAAATAAACATAATAAACAAGGCATATAAAAACATGCAGACATCATCATTATCATATCACACACAAAGACAGAGAGAACAGAGCAGCCAGTGACCAATCAGGTATCTTCAGTTTGATTACTGAACATTGTAGCATTGTGCCTGTTGAGCTGATGTACACATGCCGATTGCCAGGTGCAGCCTGTGTCCACAACATTGCTGCCGTGTCCGTTAATTGAGCTCTGCAGCTTTGACAACATCAGTGCTGTTATCTGTCGTAATGGCCACGAGGTTCTGTTCTCAGGCCCAGTGAAATCATCTCTGACAGGTGATCAACTGGGAAATATGTCGTCTTAAGACACGCGGCTTACATTCATCGTCAATGCAGTGCAAAGTAAGGCTCAAGTATGGGTCCATCGTCCTGCTTGAACAGAGATCAGATGTGGCTGCAAAGTGCTGAACAGATTTCAGTTCTTGAATCCTTTTCATATTGTGCAGCATTTGTGAATGCTTGTGTTATGGACAGCTGCTTTGTGGGGGCACTCGTTGCTGGGGTCTCTGTTTTTGAGCCGTGCAGTGTTCATATTCGGCAGTGTGACTGTGCTCTAAGTGTTGAAACAGATTGGTGGCATTACCTTTGGTGGCTGAAACAGTTTTTCTGCAGTGTTTCTGTATGACTTCTTTTTGTTCAGTCTTGTCTTTACTAAAGCCAATTTTGGAGTTCAGACCGTGCCTTCAACATGGTGGTGGTAGTATGAGGGAAGACTGATTGAGGGAAGGGGGAGAACTCTGACATCTTAGGCTGGAGTTCTGGGCAGTTTCTGCCTGTAGCTGGAGGGCCGGACCCCCTCATAGCTGGAGTAGGACTGGTGTAGAACCCGAGGTGCTCAGTTGGCTCAGTGTTTGAAGTCTCCTCCACGTTGCTTCTGTGTCACAGACTGGATGGGGCGGATTCATGTGACTACACACGATAGTATGCTTTTAAGGGGACAGTGCATGAACACACACAGCGGGAAAAGTGTTAACAGAATTAAAATAAATAAAAAATAACCGACGTGGGCAAGATTACATCGGTCAGAGGTTCTGAATGTCGGTTTCGATTAATTGCCCAGCCCTAGAAAAGCCCTTTAAAACAGAGTGTGTGTGAGAGTGAGTGAAGAGAGAGAGAGAGAGAGAGAGAGAGAGAGGGGGGTGTTCAGTTAATCAGCTTTGTCATGCCTATTAAACTCCTCTGTGCATTGGCTCTCAATCTCATTAAAGTGACCTTCAGTACAAAACGAAGGGGAGCCACAGTCAGAGAGGCTCAACACTGGGCCGTGTTTTCATTACAGCGTCTCTCAGTCCTGTTCCTGGTGTCTTTCTGCTCCGACACACCTGATCTAACCAATCAGCTAATTAACCCTATCTAAGCACATCATCTCCAACATGCATGTCAGCCACAGTAAAGTGGATCAGCATGTGGAGTTGGAGCTTTATGTGTTACCATGTTTTCCTTCACTATATAACAGAAGCTCCATGCAGCCTTTGCTGTTGGATGCACTGTATTGGCCTCTGCCTGAGCTTGTGTTCCAAATCATATGTTGACTTGTTTCAGATGGTAGTTTGTGACACAAAGTAGAAGTATAATGTAAAAGTGTATAGAGTATATATAGAGAATAGAAGTACATAGAGTAAATAGAAGAATATAGCAGGAGTGGGCCGTTGTTATTAGGACTGTCCAAATAAAATTGAACATTAGAATGTTAATCAAGCTTAATTAAAAAAAACACATTTGAATATAGAAAATGTTCATTTGAGTGATTAAAGCCGCTGCTGCAGGTCTTAGTCTCTTCCAGGACTAACAGAGGGAAGGATTTGCCATTACTGACCACAAATAAAGAAAACAACAGCTTATTTTGGCTTTTATTCTAATGAGTCAAACGTTTTCCCAACTTCTGTTTTAGTTCTGCATCTCAGTTATATAAACAAAATAAAATTAGCATTTTTAGTTTTCCCCACTACATTGTGAGACATTTTCTCCGTTTAGGCTTCCAGATGTGAAGAGTTGTGGCTTCAACCTCACATGAATTATCACTCAGTTGAATCACGTGTGATTTCACTACTTTTCCAAGTTAAACCAACAAATATTTTCTACGGTGCATCACCTCAAAGGGGGATCTTGAGTTTGAACCCCAGCGATGCCACAGCCAACCGTAAGTGGGTGTCTAAGGGGAGAAAGTGAGAGACAGAACTGAAATATTTAGAGAACTTTGTTTCATTTCAGAAAGCAATTCTTTTAAAATTCAAAAATATTCGAACATTTGATAAACAAGCAAGCTTAAAACTGGATTTTGATTTCTGATGCCAAGTGACAGCCCTAATCATTATTATGATAAATTATGTAAAATTACATCACAATGTGCTTTCTGAATATATCATTAGGGATGCAACAATATGGGAATTGTGGTTTGAAGTTGCTGTTCAAAATTTTTAGCGCACAGATATATATACTGATACTGATGGTGATACAAAAGCTTTTATGAAATGAGCTTTTATAAAATGTATAAATTATCACTTGATCTACCTGGATTAGCATTACAGAGAAATATATATAAAAAATGATTTGTATCAGTTACAAATGCAGACGTTTTATCACCGTAGCCCAGAATAAACGTCCTGCTCTTCTGGAGTATAATAAATACATCTCAAATATTGGTTTGAAACGTCTGCGGATATTGATATGAAAGTGATATTTTTATGCATTTCCCTATGTATTATGGGTAAAGTCAGCACCTAAAGAACGTTAAACATCATAAAGGGCACAGTTTCCCTTCTTTAACTGAATTTAGTGAAGTTCAGTTTGTGGAATGCTGAAAAACAAACATGTGATTGTATAAACAGTGTATTTCTGTATTGCATTGACTTAATAAACCTCAGAAAAAACAAATGTTGTGATACATGTAGAGCACTGAGAACATGCTAGAACACAGCACAGGATATATTGTGTACGAATGTAGTGTTTAGTGGAAGACTGGAGTATATAACGTATGTAGTGCGTAGTGGAAGAACGTAAGGATTAAAGTGTAACGTATAGCAATAAGAATGTGGTGCAGGACGAGGTTGGAGGACGAGTGCGTTACGCCCTTTTTGATTATGTGTGCTGCCTGAGACGGTGTGCAGGACGCGTCTTCTGTTTATTTCCGTCTAAACATCTTCGTTCTGTTTCTCATTTCAGTTACATACATTTTTTCCCGGTGCTGTTTTCCAGGCTCGGCTGCCTGATTCTCAGCTTTACTGCTTTCAGTGACCTTTAATTCAGCAAGATAGCTATTAGAATGTGGATGTATATCAAGTCTCATTCCAGGACGGAGTGTTTCCAACCTTTGCACTGACATTTAGAGCATCCCTAAGGCTACGTAATTCATTACAGGTTTATTACAGAACAGTGGGTTCTAATATTGTTGCTGAGAACCTTTAAATTCCGTAATAGTATAAATAGGAAAGACACTGCATTAACCATTTAGTACCACCTACTATTTTTTCCAAATTCAGTGCTTTTGATTTTGATCTATGAAGAAATGTAGACAAACCCACTGACAAAATATCTGCATAATTCAATAATTGAGATGTAAACAAAGTCATTCTGAGTGGTTTGATAGGAAATGGTTTGTTGTAGAGACACTTACCACCTCACATTCTTTTAAATAGTGGCTAGAGGAACCAGGGGTTGCCTTTAGGTAGTATTATGCCTCTGCATGTACCTCTCTGCCATGAATGGATCTTAAAAATTATGTTTTGGGCCAAAATGTTTTCTCAAAATCATCGTAAAAATAAAAGTCTCAGGCATCAGACGACATATTTGTAACCATTTAATGTAATAGTGGTGTTAAAGGCTTCAGACGTCTGGTTCCTATCACCACCACTGTGAATAATTCTGAGTCTAAGAATGACTTTACCTCTTAATAATTTATTTATTAATATATTTGGAAAAAAAAACTGTGGAATTCTCCTTAAACATTTGTTAATATAAAGTGATATTATTCCAAATAAATATTCCCTCCTCTGCTTCTGTGTTTCAGCTCCAGGCTTGATTGTGGAAAGCAGCAGGTGTTTGGAAGACGGTGCTCTGAAATCAGAATGACGAAGGTTATCACCCTCATCCTCTTGTGCCTGGTCTGGGGAGGCTTAGGGAAGCCGCAGTTTCCAGGTGAGCATTACTTACACCACAAAGGCACGCTGCAGCTGCCTCATAATGCTGCATTGTTTGCCATAAATCACATTACATCATTATATCAGTGTAGTTCCTGCAGTGGTCACTTCCACAAGTCTTACTTGCACTGGCTTGCTTTAGCTCTAATGACTTATTCTGGTGATGAACAGGAGTGAATGGACTCTCTGTTGCTGCATGACAAAATAGTAGTATTGCGGTTATATTGCTATATAAAGTAATTGCGATATGCCTTGCTTTTTACAAATGCATTGGTAAATCAATAATATGATCTGGTAAGGATCAATACAGAATTAAACATCAAGTATTAAATAGTAACAAAATTAACAATAGTGATCTAAACCCCCACCCAAGTGATGACCACTCCCTCCCTCTCCCCATAGAGACACAATTCCCGTTCTTTAAACCAGCACTGTTACAGCACTGTCAGTGTCAGTTTTGTCCACCTGCGGGTCAAAAGCTTTATTACACTCTTCTATAACATAAGAATAGCTCAACCAGTTTGCATTGGAGCCCCTGTAGTTACTGAATAATAAGCCTTAGCATTTATAAGCCTGAGATTTTAGGGGGTTTATGTCAGTGAGAAGCTCATATAGTGTCAATCATAGTTTTATATCCCTCAAATCCTCAACCTGTCGATGGAAATTAAGAGGCAGCAGCTCTGCAGAAGGTCAGCCAGATGAGAAGATTTCTACCAATTAAAACAAACACAAAAGGCTGATCGCTCATTATGTCCTCACGTTCTTGTAAATCTGAGTTTAATAAAAGACTGAGAGGGTTGGAGAAGCTGATCTGATGGAGGTTAGTGATCAGGAACTTAGCTGAGGAAACGTTTGTCACTAAGACGATGACATTCTGTCACCCAGCTTATTAAACATGCCTACAGAGCACATTCACACTTTCTGATTGCACCAACTGAGATCAGTGGTGGACAGTAACTCAGTAAATGTAATTCGTTTCTGTACTTAAGTAGTTTTTTCATGTATCTGTACTTTACTGAAGTTTTTCCATTTTGGGCGACTTTTTACTTTCACTCCACTACATTATGAGAAATCTGTCGCTTCTTTTTGCACACTTAGTTTTGAGCTTGTTTTGACCTGTTGGTCATACCGACCCAGTGCAGCACACGGTTCAACGTCAGTGCAGCAGCGTAAAATTCAGGGAGAGTCTATTCAACATAAATGATGAACTAACCTAACTTTGTGTAAACAGACCACAATATAGAAATATGTACTCATATGCAGTTGTGACTGACGTGTCTTTATTCTGAATTTATACAAACACATTTCATTTTATAGTAAATTAGTTTTGGCTAGTTTATGTTTATGAACAGAGACCTACAGATGCAGTTTAGTAAAGGAAACTCATTTGTGAATCTGAGTTTAAAGTTTTTATTAAACTTAAACTTGTAAATAAATCCTAAACTGAAACTTTGCTTGTTTGTAAAAAGTGATTTCAGAGCCACTCAGTTCTACCTGATGGAAACTGTTTGCCTTCAGAGTTTTGTGCTTATGGTAATTTTAATAGACATCAGCGTCACTAATTAATGACTCTATTAAAAGACTGGTTTACCAAGAGAGACACTGGAGTATTTTCACCTAAAATGAGTTAATGAAGCGAGTCTTGTTATAAAAATGATAATAGGACATCAGAGCCATAATTAATCTTTTAGTACCTTTACATTTGATACTTAAGTACATTTGAAGGCAAATACTTTTGTACTTTTACTCAAGTGGAGGTCTAAAGGGAGGAACTTCTACTTTTACTGCAGTAATATTTTACCTTGGGTGTCTCTACTTTAACTCAGGTACATGGTTTGTGTACTTCGTCCACCACTGGCTGAGACTGAACTGGTCTATAATCTGTGTACCTGAATAATATATTTAGGACATTGCAGCGTATCTAAAAGAGAGACGAGTCCACATTGCTTTAGGACTGCAGTAGTGTCCTGTATAACAGGACCAGCCAAAAGGAACTTCTCTGAAAAACTAAAGAGTGTTTTCCTTACTAACAACCCAGCGTCGGTGAGAGAGACTTCCTACTAACTACAAGAATCCGTCTCCCAACCTGGATCAGAACCAACCTCTGGTTGAAGACCTGAATTTATTTTACTGCTGGTCCAGTAACCAGCCTATATTACTTTATCCCAGAGTCCCTTTCACCTCTACTGCTCTTCATCCCGTATGTGCAATCTGCGAGCAGGACATGCGTCGCCACTTCAAAGGACAAAGGGTCAGAAAGGCCTCTGGACCTGATATGGTCCCCATTGGGTCTGAAAGTCTGTTTTGCTCAGTTAGCACACAAATGTTCAGCAAGTCATTGGAGCCGTTCATCGTACCATCCTGCTCTAAACGCTCCACCATCATTCCCATACCAAAAAAGGCCTGTAGCCCCGAAGTCCGTGGTGATAAAGGCCTTTAAAGGCTAGTTTTGGTCCATGTGAAAGACGATACAAACCCGCTGTTGGACCCCCCTAGTTTGCGTACAGGATAAACAGATCAGTGGACTACATACTGCACCACCCCGACAGCCCAGGGACCTGTGGATGGTGATGAATCTGCATACAGACAGGCTTTACTTTGGAGTGCAGTCACAATAACTTGCTGTCTTGAGGGTGTTAGATTAGTCAGATTACGCTGATCTAATGTCTGAACGTAACTCTAACGTTCGGCCCAATCAGACAATTTTTTGCCTGATTTTAACCCTGATTTGCCCCGTCGGACAAATTTTTACAATCTGAAGTGATTATCGAAGTCGGGAGTTCAGTTGAAAGCGACTGATGGTGGGATGATCCAGTGGTCTGAGAGGAGAAATGAGTCAAACTTCAGCCCTCCAGTCAAGCTCTGAAGTGATCGGAGGCTGGAGGCTGGCGACATGGCAACAATGTTATATCACTTTGATATTTTCATGATACACGATATGCATCACGGCATTTAATAAGGTTAAATTAAATAACTTGGAACAGACAAAGTAGGACCCACATGTAAGAATACTAAATACTAAATACCACTATTACTACTAATAATAATAAATGATCTACATTTACAATAATTTTTATTCAGTGTTTCACAAACTGTATTGTACTAAATTAAATCAAACAGGCCTAATTATGCTCACTTTGTGAAGAAACATGTAGTTAGTCTGCGTTTTTTAAGTACTGAAAGTATCCATGATACTCAGGAAAATGTATTATGATGATTTATTACAATAACGATACAATATTGCTATATTGCCCACCCCTATTGAAGGCCCTCTGATATTGTAGTATATGTATTCAATGAGTGATCAATACAGCAGCCAGTGAGAGAGCTAGAAGAGTGGAGAAAAGAGGTGAAGACGTGCACACCACATGTGGACTGTGGAGTCAGAGGAGCTGCTTGTAAGACACAGGCAAATAATAGCCGTTATCATGTTTATAATGTAGGGACCCAGAGGTCAAGTCACTGTCCTTATAGTGTCAAGTTTCAGTTTATACTGAAATATTTCTCCAGATCTCACTGCGATATGATTTCTCAACCCCAAATTCATCCCAGTTTGCATTTTCACACATAAAAGCACAAACTGGCCCAGCGAGTTTAGCTTTGTTTGCATCCTGTGAAAGCAGGAGAGAGATCTGGGATCTTGAGGCTTTTTTTATAGCCGTATCTCATGTGTGTCACACTCTCTCTGTGCCCTATCGTCTAAGGGGAAGACTGACGTTAGGTTTGTGGTGCTCTCCGTTTCAGAAATCTGTGAGGATTTCGTCCAGCTTAGGATTCAAGCAGAGTGGAGCATTTTAGAGATGCTTAACCTGCAGACTTGGTGACTGTTAACCCGTTTCTGTGGTGACTGCCTCCGGTGACGTAAAAACTAATTTACTGCCGGTTTAAGAAAAGTCATTAATTGATTTATTTCATGCAAACAGTAGGAAGATGATGGAATTCCCACATGTGAACATAACTGAACTTTTGAACATGTTGGGTGATGCGATATCCAACATTAATACTACATTTTTTGTATCTAATATAATTGAAATTGTTCAAAACAAAAAGTGTTACCATCAATATTTTAAGTTGCAGTATTATTAGTGTCTCAGCCTCATCAGCCGTGTTCATATAAGCCTCAGCCGAGGTACTTACAGGGATAATGATAGTAATAATGGCCTGAATGTGTGAGTTGAAGCTCCCAGCCCATTTAACCATTTAGCCTGGCTACTTTGCTCTGATCGTAAGTGCAGTTAAGAGGAAGGAGATGTTTCACTATTTGACTGAAAAGAATTGACTTTTGTTGAATCATCTCAAAACTCATTTGGAACTGTGATTGGTCAGGATGCTCACAGCACACAGTAAAAAACACTGTGATTGGCTGTCTTTGTGTGTTGAAGACTTGTGTGATATCAGTATTGCAAAAGCCAGTATTACTACAATATACAGTCATAGGCAAAAGTTTGGGCTCCCTAGTCAAGTTATTGATTGTTATTTATCAGTTGTTGATTTGGGAAAATAAGAACACATCCTCCACAGAGAACACACACCTGCATATTAATGCACAATTCCTGTCTATTTACTGAATTTAACATATTGGGGAAAAAATAAAATGTGGCCTGTGCAAAAGTTACAGCACATTTTATATTTTATTTGATTTCCAAAATGTTCAACACAGCAAATAAGTAGAAATGATGCACTAAAATGTGTTCCTGTAGAGATGTGTTAACTTATTTTCACTTAAAAACAATCCAACAAAATATGTAATTTGACTGGACACATTAAAAGACCTTATTTGTTTAACACTCGTTTGGTCTCTGCGTAATCCCATGTGTGTTATGTCATAGTTTTGATGCCTCTGTTATTCTAAAATGTGGAAAACAGTGGAAACAAAAAAATCCAAAAAAGCTTTGTGAGTCCAAACCTTTGCGCGGTTCTGTTTGTGGAAGCACAGAGATAATTACTCCTTCTTAACAGTCATGTAAACATTTTGTTTGCACATGTGGTGGCAGGATAAGAAGCTTATGTCCTCTGAGAAAGACACACAGCTGGTGCTGCTTCTCTGAACAGGTGGTTTAGTGGTTATGACACCTCTTGTTTTGAAAATGCTACACCTGACGCTTTGTTAGAGAACAGAAGGCTTTTATTTTGGAAATGGCTCTTGAATTAGAACCTGACAACGTAGACGCATCTTCCTCTGAAACTGCAGGCCTCGCGTTTAAGGTCCTTATCCGCTGGTTGGATAGGAATGTGTTGTTTAAGCAAAAGAACGCAAGAGGGAGTGAGTTATTGTGAATAACCTCCCGATCTCGAGGGTTCTGTTGCTTTTCTGCAGCAGTTAAAGAAACAGTGGAGCAAAGAATCTCAAACATGGTGTTAAATTACAAAGCGATGCACTGAGTTTACTTTATACAGATGTAGATGTTATTTCTACATGAATAGAATGTTATTCAGAACAGTGAGTAAACTGAAACACAAAATGCGTCGTTGTAATATTTTTAATATCGAAACAATGTAAACCTCCGAATCGGCGTATTACTTTTCTGTGTATATTTCTGATATTGGACGTTTCCTACACTGAAAACTTGTTAGAGCAGCTTAAACTAGTGCAGTCATTGTTGTTCGCTGTGGGAAGAAACAGCACCACTAATCAACCACTAATGTAGGAAGTAAAGGGAACATACTGTGGCTTCCGTTCAGTTTAGAGGGATAATTTGGGGAAAACGATGACATTCATGCAGCGTCACTGTTATTCCAAATATAGCGGATTAATAAAGACCAATTTGACAAAACAGTGCTGTTATCAGATCTTCCAGCGCAGGTGAAATGCTTTTTAAACGATCCCACTGTGAAAACTAACTTTCATAAGTCAAAACTGACTGTTGTGAAACATGTGAGGCAGAATGTGTTGTTGTGTCTTGCAGAGGAAGAGAAGGATCCTGTTTTCTGGAACAGCTGGGCACAGCGGACACTGAAGAACGCTCTGAATCTTCAGAAGCCGAACAAGAACATTGCCAAAAACCTCATCCTCTTTCTTGGAGATGGTAAATCAGACATACTGTACTACAGTGTTTATTCTTTTGTAATGTTTTCCTTCCTTGTAACAGTTTTTATCAGAACTAGTAATGTAGGGAATAAAGTGTAGATGGGCCTTCGGTGACTTCTGTTTTGTATGCTTATTCTGAAACTGATGCCTGCAACAGGTTCTGAAGGAGCAACTCAAGGATCTAGAAACATCTTAAAACATGATGCAGTCATGCTTTATGACCAAGAACAGGTCACGGGAACCCGGAGAAATCTCTGAAGCTCAAGGCTGAAAACCACAACTGAATGCCTGCTGCCTTCAATGCCTCAGACAGCCCTGCATACACCGGTCAGGCATAACATTCTGACCACCTCCTTGTTTCTACGCTCATTGTCCATTTTATCAGCTCCACTTACTATATAGGTGCACTTTGTTAGCTCCCTTTTACCCTGTCCTGACCACTGAAGAACAGGGTAAAAGGGAGCTAACAAAGTGCACCTATATAGTAAGTGGAGCTGATAAAATGGACAATGAGCAGAGAAACAAGGAGGTGGTCAGAATGTTATGCCTGATCGGTGTAAAAAACCAGCATGCTTCTTTGATGGGTCACCACGCATGCCTGGGAATGTCATAGTGCTGTTCATCACTCTATAGACAGATGCAAGTTAAAGACTATACTGTGCACAGTGGACTCCATATATCAACAATGTCCAGAAACACTGTGGACTTTTCTGGAGCTCATCTGAAATGAATCGATGCTCAGTTGAAATGTGTACAGTGGTCTGACAAGTGAACCATTAGATCGTTTATGGATGTTAATGGATGTGTTCTCTGAGCCAAAGATCCAGACTGGTACAGCAGTAAACTTAGGGAGAGCCAGCAGTCCAGACGTGTTTCACACTGAAAAGTCGTGCAGAGAAGAACACAGTAATAACAACAAAGGCGTCTTGTGCTTGGACAGCTGAAGACTTGTGCAATGGAAGAATAGCAAAACTGGATCTTCAGTCTCCAGAGGATTATTAAGTGCTGTTAAAGGGGGGGTGGGGTAAAACAGGGATAAACACCCTCCTGTCCCAACTTTTTGGAAAGTGTTGCAGACATCAAATTTGGAATGAACATATATTTACAAAAAAGAGACAAGTTCATAAGGTGAAACATCAAATATTGTGTTTTTTTCAATTTCCTTTAATCATCAAAAGCAGAAAATCCTTAAGGTTTGAAAGGGTTAACATCACTTTTTCTCAGCTAAACCTTTCAGCCTGTTAAATTCACCTTATGTTATGGTCACTTTACTGTTATTGTATTGTGTTGTATTGTCTGTAGTGTTATTTCTGGAAAAGTGATGAAGCTGCACTGCAGTGACTGTAACATGTGGACCTTCCAAGACATTGACAGATGACTCACTCTCCACTCTGTTTATCAGCCCCCCCGTTTATTACCGTGCCTTTTTAAAATCTCTCTTTGTGTCAGTCTTGTACAGCACGTTTAGGACAGGCGGTCATTTTAACTCCATCCAAAGTCCATTTTCAACCAGGCTTGAGTGTTTTGTAGTTCCACAGTCGTGTGGTGAATTTCTATTGGACAGACGCCACACGGAGACGCTGGTGATTAAGCCTCAGATGCTATTTTGTAGGTATGGGCGTTCCCACGGTGACGGCGGCCAGGATTCTGAAGGGTCAGCTGAGTGGACAGTATGGAGAGGAGATTCAGCTGGAGATGGACAAATTCCCCTACGTGTCTCTCTCCAAGGTTCAGCCCACACCGCATTATCCCATCATGCCATTCCTTTGTGCCCATAATCCATGTGACATACTGGCCCCTCTTTGGCTACACAGTGTCCATTCAGACCCCAGTCTGCTGTTAGTAACGGTCATAGTTAAATAAAGCCCATTACAAGACATCCTACAGTTAATACTGTAGTTTTAACCCTTAGAGGTCCAGAGTTAATATCGCCTTTTTACTATATTTGATTTGTCACCACACAATTATTGAAACGTAGTTACTGAATTATCTAGTTATGTAATTAATTACAGTTACAAAGGATGAACATTCTGTGTCGACGGCACCAACATTTCCTGTTTGTTATGTTGTCAAATGATGACAAAACCATGGAAAAATGTAAAGAATTACCTGGACACTATTTCAGCACAGAAGCCAGAACTTTAAACCTTCCATAGCTCTATTTAGGGAGGAGGGAGCTGTTTGAGACTCAGTGAGGGTTTGGTGCTTCTTAGTAGTAACAGGTGTTAGTTACAACAGGTGTTGTCACAAATCAGTTTTACAAGGAAATCAGCATTACAGAAAGAAATCCGGGTCCGAGCCCCCATGAGCGTCGCCGGGGGGGACAGTGGCAAGGAAAAACTCCCTAAGAGAAACAGGAAGAAACCTTGAGAGGAACCAAGACTCAGAAGGGAAACCCATCCTCCTCTGGTCGACACCGGATAGTAAACATTGTTAGTACAAAAACAGGGAAAACAGGTGGAGAAATGATTAATTTGATTAGTTTAGTTTATGCAGCGGCAGCAGCAGCATCAGTGGGGTCAGGTTGTGAGGGTGAGGTTTGCACGGCGTTGTACAGCATGAAGCTCAATGGTGGTCAAGCCGGTCCAGAGGGCTGGCGAGCAGTGGCACCCGATCAAGGCAGAAGAGGCAGCAGCATCAGACGCACAGGATGGGCAGCTGTTCAACTCGGCAAAGGAAACGAAAGAAAGGAAAAACACACAGAGTCAGTTCTGTAATGGGTGACTGATCTTAGGGCAGATCTGACTGAAGCACAGACATTAGAAGCAGGTCAGACAGTCGAGTGACAGAGTCATTAGTCCTGTTGCAGTTTTACAGTCAGTCTTATAGTGAGTTCTTTAATTCAGAGCCTGTGATATTAATGAAGGAGTTGTTTTGTCTGTTAGATGTCTTTTAGCCTGTAAGCTAATCAGGCTGGTTCTAGTAAAGTAATTTGTCAGCCCCTCAGTTTAAACAGAACTGGGTTCTACTATATCTGTACACTAAGTCTATGCGAGCAGCATTGGAGTCAAAGATTATTCCATTAACAGCAGAAGGATTTTTTGTGTGATACAGAATTTAAATGCTGTGAGGGGTGTGAGGTCATAGGTGTGCACAAGAAAATAAGACATTATGGTAACACTTTACTGTAGGGTGCTGTTCATAAGGCAACATGACACCTACATAAGCTTGTCATAATGTCTTATTTTCTCAAGCTTTCAGCTGATTATGTTGAAATAATGTCAGTAACACTTTACTGTAGGGTGCTGTTCATAAGGCTACATGACACCTACATAAGCTTGTCATAATGTCTTATTTTCTCAAGCTTTCAGCTGATTATGTTGAAATAATGTCAGTAACACTTTACTGTAGGGTGCTGTTCATAAGGCTACATGACACCTACATAAGCTTGTCGTGACAACTGACATAACCCTACATAACTGTTTATAAATGCTTGTTCCAATAAGCATAATTTGCTATAAAGGTTACATTTGCCAATTTTGATCAAAGTCAGCTAAAGTAGCCTGACAGATGACGCCTGTTGTAATAAGCATTTATAAACAATTATGTAGGGTTATGTCAATTGTAATGACAACCTTATGTTGGTGTCATGTAGCCTTATGAACAGCACCCTACAGTAAAGTGCTACTGACATTATTTCAACATAATCAGCCGAAAGCTTGAGAAAATAAGACATTATCTGACATTTTGACATAATCAGTCAAAATCTGAGCAAAATAAAACATCATTTTAACATAATTACCCAAAATGTTCAGACAAGAAGCCAGTATTTTGAAATAATCAGACAAAATCTTTAGAAAATAAGATATTATGTCAAAATAATCAGTTAAAATATTAAGAAAAGAAGACATTATTTTGAATATAAAGGATATCATTATTTTGACATAATCCAAATCTGAGAAGTCATTGTTTTGACATACAAAGTCATACAGCTGTCAGAAACAAAGAGGCAGGAAAGCTTCCACATGAATAGACTCGTCTGTGTTGTGGCCTCGTTCGTACTTAAATATCTCAGTGAAATGTGAGGCACTACAGACACGTTACAGTTTTGTTTTATCGAAGGCTGATAAAATGACATTAAAAATAAATACTCAGAAGTTTCCAGTGGTGGTGCACGTTCTGTTTTACAACTCATTACTTGAAGTTCAGTGAGCAAATCTTTTAACCAGGTTACTTACTTTTATCCTAGTAGCTCAGTAGGTCTGTGTGGATGTTCACTAATACACGTGCAGATAAATCAGCCGTTAGCTCTTCGTTTATAGGGGGTGAATTGAATGCACAGCAGGAACAGGTGCGGTTTGTGTAGCCTGTCTGGCTGTAACACTCACAACCATGAAGTTTTATTTACTGCCTGAACTTCATTTGCATCTTGACCTCTGACACCCACTCTGGCATTAGCCCGAAGCTTAAGCTTTCCACATTTTTCTAACGAGCTCAAGCTTCTCTGTTTTTCTGCAGACCTATAACACCAATGCCCAGGTGCCGGACAGTGCAGGCACTGCCACGGCGTATCTGTGTGGGGTGAAGGCCAACGAGGGCACAGTGGGCGTCAGCGCTGCGGCCGTCAGGGGCCAGTGTAACACCACTCAGGGCAACGAGGTCACCTCCATACTCAAATGGGCCAAAGATGCAGGTACGAATCCTCCCACACCACAGCAGCAGCAGCAGCACGATGAATAAAAACAAATGCACCACGTGACGAAAGGTTGAAGGCTCTGACTTTCAGTCTGTTTAGCGTTTGCCTTTATTGTGAGTTCATCACGTCCTACTGATGAGAAACGATAACAGATTCCACACACACCGTAACTGATCTTCCTCTGCTCCTGCGTAAACAAAGCAAAGAGTAGCTCTAAAATACGCTTTTAAAAATGATCTTAATACAAATTAGCATGTTTTCTTTTATTATTATTAATAAAAAAAAATATTATTATTATTTTGCAATCATGTATTAAAGTCTAAGCAGGTTTATTAGGAGCAAAACAATCTCACAGGTGTTAATATGTCTGACTGTTGTGTCAGTTCGACTCTACATTCGTCAAAAAACAGCATCATCACCATCACTTTCACTTATATACCACCTTTTCTACGCTCAAGGACGCAATCAAAGAACACATTAAACAGGAAGTAGGACAGGTCTAACATTCAGCTACGAGAGAAGCACTGATAACACAGTGAAAACACGTGTGTCTTTAACAGTGATTTGAATGAGGTTCCGAATGAGCCATTCCGAATAGAGAGAAGAGCATTCCATCATTTTGGAGCTACTGCACTAAATGATCAAGTGCCGAACATAAGGAAGGCCTGAATGATGTGATCTTAAAGTACAGGGAGGGACATATTCATGAAGAAGCTCAGGCAGGTAGTGAGGAGCCAGGCCATGCAGAGCTTTATATATAATAATAAGAACGTTTTACTGAACTGGATGTAATCGGTAACCAGTGAAGGCTCTAAAAGACAGGAGTGATATGATCAGTCTTCTTAGAGGAGCTGAGGATCCTAGCAGCTGCATTCTGTACATACTGAGGGCTTTGGCATGAAAGCCAGACAGGAGAATAGCAGTCAGTCTATGGCTTTTATTATTGTTTTGCTACAATCGCAGATTCTATCATAGCAACGTACAGCTTCAGCCTGTATACTACAGAAGGTTAAAGAGGTCAGACTAGTAAAATGTGTTGATAATATTAATGTGTGTGATATATTTATGTTATCATTAATGCTGTTGGTGCAGTAAAAAGCTTGCTGTACACTGAAAAGCTAAATGGACACTATCATTATGAAGCCTTTCATCATTCCCTATTAATAAGATGTGCTTTACTAATTGCAGAATGAAGGACTGTAAAAGCTCATGCGAAAGAAACAGCTGAAGAATTTGACACAGTAGAAGAGAAACTGTCCTGTACTGGGGAAAATGCTCTGAAAATGCAAGAAGGACACTCAGACAATGTCCTAATAGCTCATTTAAAGGTGGAAAATAAAAATAAATGATGCGTTTTATAAGAGCGAAAGCCCTTCGCTGAGAGCGGAGGAGAATGGAGCTACTGGAGCGGAATTCATGACGTGTCCGGACAGCCGAGAGAGCCGACAAGAATGAGCTTTTAAAAGCCTGCTGTGAGGCTGAAAGGACAGAAAGGATGGTCGGGCTAATCAAAGTCAAAGCCCTGGCCTGACCTCAACAGAGAGCTGCACATAGCAGGAAACATAGCCTGTAGACTCGAGCTTAGATTTAGGACCTCAACCTTCTAATATTTTCATTTTAATTAAATATCCTTTCGAGGACCAGCTTGAGTATTTGAGTGTTCTACAAGGATAAGGAAAGCTCAAGTTGGACGCAGTGAGATCGGTATTTTTTAGTAAGATCTAAAACACTGAACCTTTGTTTACATTTACGTTTACAGCATTTAGCAGACGCTCTTATTACAAAAAGTGCTTTGTCTGTCCAGAGAAAGTATCTTCGCTAGTTACCAATAGGTTGGAGAGAAAGCCAGTCCAGCTCAGATACTGCTGGAATCAGAAAGTCATCATTGACACCTAGAGAAAAAGGAACCGAGTTAAACACAGAGCAGTGCAATATAATACAATACAATACATAAGTGCAGTACAATACATTCCAATCAATACTTAATTCAGTGCTCATTTAAGTGCTGTATAAAGAGACGGTCTTCAGTCTGCGTTTGAAGACCGCGAGAGACTCTGCTGTTCGGACAGCCAGTGGGAGTTCGTTCCACCACCTGGGCTCCAGCACAGAGAACAGTCTTGATGCTTGCCTTCCGCGCGCCTTGAAGGATGGCGGGTCAAGCCGAGCTGTACTTGAAGCTCGAAGGGCTCGTGGTACAGTTCGAGATTTCACCATTGCCATCAAGTAGGGAGGGGCTGGTCCATTTTTGGCTTTGTAGGCAAGCATAAGGGTTTTAAATCTGATGCAGCTACAGGAAGCCAGTGAAGGGAGCGCAGTAGTGGGGTGACGTGGCTGAACTTGGGGAGATTGAAGACGAGCCGAGCTGCTGTATTCTGGATGAGCTGCAGAGGTTTGATGGCCACATAGGAAGACCAGCCAAGAGCGAGTTCCAGCAGTCAAGCCTTGAGATGACAAGAGACTAAACGAGCACCTGGGTGGCCTCTCGAGAGAGAAAGGGTCGGATCCTCCGGATGCTGTACAGGAGAAACCTGCATGACTGATGGGGAAGAGACTCAGAAGAGTGTCTAACTCGTCAATGAAGTAGCCTAGAGGAGAAGGAGGACGATAAAGGACAATGATGTGAAGTTTAGTGGGGAAAGCTACAGTGACAGCATGGTACTCAAAGGAGGAAATTGAAAGATGAGAAAAAGCAAGTGGAGTGAAACGCCACTTTCTGGACGAAAGCAAACCTGTGCCACCACCCCTGCCAGACTGTCTCGGCAGAGGTGGTGTCTCTTGGGAACAAAACACACTTTGTTCACGTGCGTTTTCATAAACGGGGTAAATCGATTATTCAGATGACTTTACCATTAAAAAGTTTATCGATTTTGATCATTGCTGTCCTTCTTACCTCAAAGAGAAGCAAAGTTTAAAACATTTAATATGAAATTACATGCAGTGCATTGAGCAATACTGACTGTCTAGACCCATTTTAGTAAAGTAGCACTGCTGTGTCTGATCCACTCGTACCAGCGCAACACACACTAACACACCACCACCACATCAGTGTTACTGCAGTGCTGAGAATGACCCACCACCCAAATAGTACCTGCTCTGTGAGGGTCCATGGGGTCCTGACCACTGAAGAACAGGGTAAAAGGGGGCTAACAAAGTATCAGAGAAACAGATGGACTACAGTCTGTAACTGTAGAACTACAAAGTGCACCTATATAGTAAGTGGAGCTGATAAAATGGACAATGAGCGTAGAAACAAGGAGGTGGTCAGAATGTTATGCCTGACCAGTGTAGATGTCAGGTACAACAGGGAAATGTCAGTAAATCCCTTAGAGCTACTTCAGTCGTGGTACAGCAACTAGTGGTACTTGCGACAACCTGAGCTTTGCTGGGTAGCAGCATTTAGCCGTGGTTTGGACTGTATTCTCTTTCAAAACTGTTCCAATGCACTTGTAAACATGAGATCCATCCCTTTGTAGGGGTCCGAAGGACAACCGACATTTCAAAATGTTTTTCTGCACATTGCACGCAGTTACATATTTCCACCAGAGAGGTCTCCAAACCCCCAAAAGTTACATAGTGCAGCTTTAAAAGGAGGCCGCATGATCTGATTTCATTTCAGCTCAGTTCAGGTTCGTAATCAGTGTCCCACAAATGAAAACATAATAAAACGAGCCAGCAGCGTTCACAGAATTTCCCTCTTAATATCCAGATGAACTCAGCGAGAGCCTGAGAGAAGATCCTCTATGAAGTTATGCTGCAAGAGCTGATTTCCTGCCCTGTGAGGCCTCAACATGCAGAAAGTGCACTAAACCCAGAAAGTAGTTCTGTGTGCTGTTTTTTGGTTATTTTGTCTAGATTTAGCAAAACGGTCCCCAATGACAAGAATGTGAATGAAGGATACTAAGAGTCTTAAAGGAATAGTTTACTGCAAAGGTAGTTGGTCAGCCAAGACGCGTCAGAAGTTAGTTTTACACTGCACAAATGAGACTAATTAATATATCTGCACACTTTCTATTAACCATGTTTTACAGAATCTCTGATAGACGTGCTTATGTGGTTTTTACAACTTACATACTATATATATTATATATAAAACTGGCTGAAAGTATTTACTTCAAGGTTACTAAGGTTTTTTTACTAATGTCTTTGGTAATGCAATTTTATTGATAATGGTATGTCAGAAACCACACAAGCAAGTCTTATTTGATATTATTTAACCCCTTAAAATCCCAGGCTTATTACATACTAAGGCCTAATGCCATCTCACCCTGGCTGAACCAAAGAAACCCACAAATGTGAGAATTTTCTCTGTTAAAAATTATAATAACCATCGTATTATCTTAGTTTAATGTCATTTCAGTGTATTTTAGTCGTTTTCTTCATAACAAGCATAAAAATCACTAGCAGTGCTGACGTCTCAGTAGCTAACTTTTCCGTTCCACCTTAAATGGTGCAGCAGTTACATTCTGGCTCCTCAGCCATCATAACTGCCGCTCTGTTTAAGGTGGAACGGGAAAATTCGAACAAGAATCTGGTGAATATCTGACTTCATCTTCATATCACTGAAGAATTAGGGGTGGGTGATAATAAATAATTGCCCCCCTCTTTGAAGATCATATGATTCCCTAAATGTAACTAAAGCCCAGCAGTGAGGAGCTGAACTTTACCCTCCTCTGCTGTCACTGCAGACTGGCAGGGTCTCCTACAGAGCAGCGCTGGTAGCTGTTAATGAAGTGATGCTCTTTTTATTTGAGGGTCCCATTTCAGAGGGAAGATTTCAACCACTACCCTGTAACTCAGCTCCAAGGGGCAACACTCGAAAACAGGGGGTAGGGGGTAAAAATAACCAATAGGATTAGGCCTAGGGCTTATTATTCAGTAACTACAGGGACTTCAGTGTAGTAAACTTTGGGCCCGCTGATGGCCTTTTATGGGGTCAACAGCTCACTGAGGCCAGTGTGTGAGCATTTAGACATGGCTAATTGTTGTACATAAGTTTCCATTACTTATTAGCTGCATTAGCATCATAGCCCCAATGCAAATTAAGGAATCAGACTTCAGATGCCAAACGTGTCTTGGCTAATTGATTAGATTTGGAGTTTGGAGAAAACTGTGTACATAAGATTTTTCACAGTGTATAGAACTTATTGTTATTTGGGTACGTATATCTGTTTATTAGGGAAGTCTGTGGGTATCGTCACAACGACGCGAGTGAACCACGCCACCCCCAGTGCAGCGTATGCCCACTGTGTGGACCGCGATTGGTACTCAGACGGAGAGATGCCCCCTGAGGCACTGCAGGACGGCTGCAAGGACATCGCCCGGCAACTCATGGAAAACATCCCTGACATTAACGTGAGCCGCCTCTCCTCTTCACTTCAAAAACCTGTGCCCTGTTCACTGCACAGTGCACTGCTTCCAAAATAGTGCACTGTACAGTGAACCGTTCTGTGAGTCTTCACGGTTAAAGTGTTCGGAGTAGCCAAATGATGGACTCTAGTGGGCATGGAATACCTAAGTTATATGCAACACAACGTGGCTACTGTTGCAGAGTGATGACCAAACCAGTGCAGTGTTGGCCTATAAAACCATTTATTTTCAACACAAATTCTGTTTACAGTAATAGTGAATTTGGACGGCTTACATTAGTTTTTTCAAGGACTACTGAGACCATCAACCAGTCGCTTGCCTTTTCATGATAAACTGGCCTGAATCACAGACTGCGATCATGGTCAGAATAATAAAAATATGCCAAATAAATGAAACTGAACATTCAGCATGAGAACAAGGTTATATAGAAAATTTAAAAAAAGGAAAAATGATTTTATTCCCTACAGTTGTGGCCTTTATAGTGTTCCTCAGTAGGGAATAGTGTTTAGGGGACCATTTATGTTCCCAGTAATTGTTTCTATTTAGCACTCTTGTTATATGATATAAGTAATAAGTAATAATAGTATAAGTAGTAAGCGTAATGTAAGTAATAGTGATTACAGAACCATCCTTCTCTGTGGTAGAGCTCTGTGTATTTCCGTTGTGCTCCATATAGTGTAAGTAATGTTGGTAATGGTCATTAGGGGACCATTTCTGTTCCCTGTTCTGTATGGTGCTCCAGTGAAAGGGACAGTGACTATGGGACCATGTCTGTCTCTTATAATAGTGTTCTGTTTGGTGCTCCAGTGTAGGGAATGAAGTGATTAGAGATCCGTTTCCATCACAGCTCTGTTTATCTCCCTCGTTGTGTCTTTCGCCGTTCATTCAGTGCTTTGTCTTCATGTTGTGTGTTTGGTTAATGCTCTGGGGGGGGGGTGCTCTTGATTTTTGTCTGGATGGACAGGTAATTATGGGCGGTGGACGCAAATACATGTTGCCTAAGAACACATCGGACGTGGAATACCCCGGAGAGAAGAAACACAGCGGAACGCGTAAGGACGGCAGGAATCTGATCCAGGAGTGGAGCGACAGAATGAGGGACAAGGTGAGAGATGTGAGAGAGAGAGAGTGAAAAACAACACATTCATTCAGATCCCATTTCCACTTTTTAGGATTTGGTTCCGAAACTCTGCTTCTTAACTCACACTCGTTCTGTTATTTCAAGCATTGCAAATATTTCTGCTCATTTTATGGCTCTTTGTTGACTGGCTGTCCTGATTAACATTTGATCCCTTCATTTCTGTCAAATAAAGCAAGTCTTCATGAAAAATTGCAAAAGACTGAATTGAAATATAAACTTTCCTTATTTCCTGGTCAACAGAAGGGCCATTACGTATGGAACAAGCAGGAGCTCCTTTCAGTAAACCCCTCTACTGCTGACTACCTTCTGGGTGAGTTTTTTTTGTTTACATTCATTGTCCAGTAAAGGAACGAGGTATTGTTTGTTAATCATCGTCACAATGTTGGCATTAGTATTACAGAAGGCTGCAATATGCAGATGAGCCCGTTAACGAATCAGAAGTTGTTTAATGTATCATCCTGACCACTTGCAGTTCCAGATGTGTCTCTGTGGGTGTTTGAAGGTATCAAGACGTTCACATGATCCAACAAACGTAGATACATTTGATCAAAAATAGGGTTTGCTAATGTTAATTGACATATTGGAGGGTATTGTGCAGCCACAGTGTGCAGCAGTGTAATCACTGTAAGCCTGTGATCTTACTGAAAGTGTCCCTTTGCTCTTGCCTTAGGGTTGTTTGAGCCAGGTGATTTGACCTATGACCTGGATAGAGACCGCAGCACTGACCCTTCCCTCACAGAGATGGTGGAGGTGGCCATTAAAATACTGCGGAAAAACCCTGAAGGCTTCTACCTGCTAGTGGAAGGTGAGAGAACTGGATACCATCCATCCATCTTTAGGCCACCAAAGGGGATTAATTTCATTATCACAGTTTAAAACATTGTTACCATTATAGATTTCACACATCATGATATTGGCACTAGTTTTCCGTGGTCTATGACGTGCTGTCCTAAAAAGAGAGAGAGATATCCAACATTTTTGCAAAGTTAATACATTTACTGTTATCAATTAAATGTATGGTTAAGTTTTATTTGAAGACTGTCTGTACAGGGACTTCATAACACAGGCAAAAGCATTGAATGACATATTAATAAACCTATACTTGAGTGTTTATGAACAGCTTATGCCAGTAATCCCTAGATAACGTTTAATGTTTAAGCAAATTAAAACATTATAGTGTGATGTTTGGGCCTTTAAACTAAAGTTACACACAGTTGTTTCATTAATAACACTGTTATGAAGCATTATTACCAGGTAATGGATCTTATAAGGTAGAGGCAAAAATTTCCATAAGGGTGAAACTAACTTAGGAAGCTACAAAAGATCCTGGAAAAACATCCAAAGAACTGCTGGCCTCTCGATTCCCAAGCCTTTTGGGATAATGTTTTATAGACCAGATGAGTCCAGAGAGGAACCGTTTTGATAACTTTTGATTATTCCTGCCATAAAGCAAATACAGAATTAACTGAATACAGAATACAGGCGACCATGAATTTGACTCTGAGTGTCGCAACCAAGCGCTCTGTTTGCCCAGGGTCTGGATATTTATAAGTATCTTTAATATTATCTATACTATTTGCCCTAATAACTATCTGGAATCTAATATCTTCAAAAAAGGATTAAAAGAATCAAAGAATATCTACAAAAATGAAAGGAATGAAAAAGACTTCTGCCGCTGAGTTCCTGTGGAAGGAAGGAAAAGGCCTTCGCTTTATTGGGCATCAGATGGCAAGATGGTTTGGTAACCTGTAAAAGCCAAACGCGTATGATGTCTTTTTTTAAACCCACTCTGGTCTGACTCTTATCAGACTGGTCCCTCCTTACAGGGCCTCTCACACTGCCCTCCATATACATACAAGAGTGAACCAGCTATAACTTAAACTGTCATCTGGTCCAGCTCCCTTCTGTGGGCTCTGCCCCCTAGTGTGTGTGTGTTCACTAGTGTGTATGTGGTGTTTCACTGCACGGATGGGTTAAATGTGGAGAAGTAATTTCCCCGTTGTGGGACTAATAAAGGGTCAGTTAACTTCACTGTACAAATAATTGTGATCAGCTCAAGTAATTACCTAATAATTGTGATTATTAGTGAATAGTGTCTTTCTGACACTACTGCAACATCCTTGGACAGCTCAAAACGCTTGGAGGAGAACGCTCGTTCAGCTCTGCTACATCAGCTCTGTTAGTTAGCATCTAATGTGGGAAGAGGGCCATCCTACCCACTTAAAGAGCACAAGGCTAATTAGGTTTCCTGGACTCCCGGCCCCAGATGGCTGTGGCTGAGGCTCACGATCTCCTGCCAGCACTTTGATAATCCCTCTATTCAGGAGCTCAGTCTGTGCTTTCAACAAAAGTCAGATCATTATTTGGGCAAAACTCGTTCTTTATACAAAGGAGGACTCATTGATTAACATGAAGCGGAGTGAAAGTTCCGACTGAAGGCCAGGTGCCCCAAAACATACGTAGTGTATTAACCCACATGTGCAAAACCATTCGGTTTTCAGAGCTGAGGACCACCGAGGATGTCTAGAATGGTCAGTCAAGCTCAAACCTGTGAGCACTCTAACTTTGCTGTTTGCCTGCAGGTGGACGAATTGACCACGGACACCATGAGGGTAAGGCTAAGCAGGCGCTGCACGAGGCGGTTGAGATGGACCGAGCCATAGGACGAGCCGGCCTGCTGACCAGCGTCCATGATACGCTGACCGTCGTCACCGCCGATCACTCGCACGTGTTCAACTTTGGAGGCTACACAATGCGAGGAAACTCCATCTTTGGTAAGTGTCAGACTCTGATCCTCTAATTCAGAATCACATCGACACTGTTTGTCCCCTTTACCCAAATATAGTCAATCAGCCAGGACATGTTTGTAGTCTCAACTTTGCTTCTCTACTTTAGCACTGGAGCTACAAGACTAATGTAGCTAACATGTAATGGAAGTGTTGTAATGGATGCAGTTGGCATTGCGCAAAACACACATTTGCCTGAAACTGCATGAAGCTGTTGAGGAACCTGAGAAAGTGCTGCTCAAATAGTTTTACACACTGAATGTTATACTTGATTGATCCTACGAGGGAAAGCTGATGTTTTGCTGACCAACAATGCCCAGTCTAGGAGCAGCACAGGATCAGCCGCAGGGCGGAGCTGTCCGTGACAGTAAAGCGGGTTAAGTTCCTTCCAAAAGGGCACAACCAGAAATACCCAGTTAGTCATGGGATTTGAACCCAAACCTTATGGTTACTGGCCTGTCCTGTCACTAATCTACTGGACATATAATGTTATCTTTAATGAGCACTAAGTGATTTTCTTCTTTGTCTTGTGAAACAACCAGTATGGCAGTGTTCTTGGGACTCTATACTGACACCTGTAGGTGTGGCTGATAAAGAGCTTCTATGCACTCCCTAGTGTTGTAGAGAAGCAGTCGCTCTCCTCTCATTTGTTAGTGGAACAATCGTCACAGCTTTGTTATCAGTTTAACTCAAAATGACGTGGTAGACCGAGATATTATACTGGTAACTATAAGAAATGCTTGGTTTCCAGTTCTGTGTAGACAATAACTGACACGGCTGTTATAACCAGGTTAGACAGTAAGACGTGCACCAATCAGCCATAACATTCTGACCACCTCCTTGTTTCTACACTCATTGTCCATTTTATCAGCTCCACTTACTGTATAGGTGCACTTTGTAGTTCTACAGTTACAGACTGTAGTCCATCTGTTTCTCTGATACTTTGTTAGCCCCCTTTTACCCTGTTCTTCAGTGGTCAGGACCCCCATGGACCCTCACAGAGCAGGTACTATTTGGGTGGTGGATCATTCTCAGCACTGCAGTAACACTGACGTGGTGGTGGTGTGTTAGTGTGTGTTGTGCTGGTGCGAGTGGATCAGACACAGCAGTGCTGCTGGAGTTTTTAAACACCCACTGTCCACTCACCGTCCACTCTATTAGACACTCCTACCTTGTCAGTCCACCTTGTAGATGTAAAGTCAGAGACGATAGCTCATCTGCTGCTGCACAGTTTGTGTTGGTCATCCTCCAGTCCTTCATCAGTGGTCACAGGACGCTGCCCACAGGACACTGTTGGCTGGATGTTTTTGTTTGGTGGACTATTCTCAGTCCAGCAGCGACACTGAGGTGTTTAAAAACTCCAGCAGCACTGCTGTGTCTGATCCACTCAGACCAGCGCAACACACACTAACACACCACCACCACGTCAGTGTTACTGCAGTGCTGAGAATGACCCACCACCCAAATAGTACCTGCTCTGTGAGGGTCCATGGTGGTCCTGACCACTGAAGAACAGGGTAAAAGGGGGCTAACAAAGTATCAGAGAAACAGATGGACTACAGTCTGTAACTGTAGAACTACAAAGTGCACCTATATAGTAAGTGGAGCTGATAAAATGGACAATGAGCGTAGAAACAAGGAAGTGGTCAGAATGTTATGGCTGACCGGTGTAAATGTGTAACACATGACAGTTACTGAATGCATCAAACAGCATTGCATAATGTTGAGATTGAGCTGTTGCAGTAGAAGCTGCCGTCCAGTCTGACACTTTCTGACAAACAAGCGAATGATTGACTCTTCCTCATGAGAACCACACGCTGTTACATCAACACTGAGTGCTGTGGAATGGAAACTGGAGCCGCGTGGACAGCCTCTGTTTTTAGACTGATTAAAGCGTTCGCTCGGTTTGTAGCAGGAATGCTGTTAGTGTGTGTGCTAGCGGCAAAATAACATAATACTTCGACGCATATTTATACTTCTGAAAAAATAAACAGGGTAACTTGTTGTCAACAATGCCTGAAAACAAACGAAGTGTTTAACTTTACTCTCCAGCAGGAAATAAGCAACTTCAGCATCACTCTGAAGCTGATGTTTACCCTGGTTCTCTGCCAACGCTGGTCTTTCACTTTTCTTCTTTTATTTCTGCGATGATTTACACAGCCGAACGTTACCGACTCTCCCTCGACTCTGCTTGTAAAGAGTAGCGATGATCCTCCTTTAACATTTTCATTCAATATTCAGCAAAATGCAACCTGACTGTCTGGTTCTGTATTAAATAGCCTATAGGAAAGTGACCAGCATAGGCTGAGCAGCTTTAACCAATGAGCACGCAAAACCTTTTTCTACTACACCAGGCTTGCCCTGCTGTTGCCACATCTGCTGGAGTGAATCCGCACATTAATATGATAAAATGGTTTATACAGCCATACGAAGTAATTTGGGTCTTCGTCTCAGGTGAGTCTGCGTTACGAAAGAAACCTTTATATGTAGCATTTTGGGGTTTTTTTGGTGGTAAACATGACTTAGTGCTCCTTCTATTGCCAGTCTGACAGCAGGAATAGCAGCCGTCGAAAAGCCTGAACCTTTTCTGTATTTCTGTGTATTTTTATAGGAGGATGTCGTAGTGTTGGAAACTGCACAAGCAAATCTGAGATTATTTAACAGCTCTGTGCAGTTTTGAGGCCACTGATGATTTAGACATGCAGTTTGCACAATACTGACTGATAACCAAACACTTCCATTACTTGCTAGTTAGGTTAGCCTTATAGCTCCAGTGCACATTAAAGAAATAAACTCCAGACACCAAACATGTCTTGATTAACTGCATTTGAGACAAAGGAATAACTTAACAGACTGTCAGTTGTTCAGATTTTGAGTCTTAAGTGTGTCTCTGCAGGTTTGGCTCCCATGGTGAGTGATGTTGACCAGAAGCCATTCACATCCATTTTGTATGGAAATGGCCCAGGGTTCAAGCTGGTCAATGGCTCGAGGGTCAACGTGTCCACAGTGGATTATCGTAAGTATCGTAACATAAAAAAGTGGCTGCTACTGCCTTTTAACCAGCTGTTCTCCTTGATTCTGTGACCTCCATAAAGCTGTCATTACATTTCCTTTAAATTACATATACTAAATGGACAAAAGTATTGGGACACCTACACATCACACCTACAGGAGCTTCTATGAATCCTATTCTAGATCCAAAGGCATTAACACTGATGTTGGACGAGAGGGTCTCGATCATAATCTCCGTTCTAGTTCATCCCAAAGGTGTGTGATGGGGTTGAGGTCAGGGCTCTGTGAGGGCCAGTCAAGTTCTTCCACACCAAACTCACCCAGTCAGGCCTTTATGGAGCTGCTTTGGTCACTGGGTCTCAGTCATGCTGGAACAGGAAAGGTTCTTCCCCAAACTGTTCCACAAAGTTGGAAGCGTATAATTGTCCAAAATGTCTTGGTGCTGAGTCGTTAAGATCCCCCTTCACTGGAACTAAGGGTTCTAGACCAACCCCTGAAAAACAGCCCCCTATCATCATCCCTCCTCCACCAAACTTTACAGCTGGCACAGTGCAGTCAGGCAGGTAACGTTCTCCTGGCATTCGCCAAACCCAGACTCGTCCATCAGACTGACCGATAGAGAAGCTGATTGGTCACTCCACAGAACACGTTTCCACTGCTCCAGAGTCCAGTGGCGGCGCTTTACACCACTCCAGCCGACACTTGGCGTTGTGCATTTTGATCCTGGGCTTGTGTGCAGCTGCTCGGCCATGGAAACACATCTCATGTAGAGAGGTGTTCCAATACTTTTGTCCATATTGTATATATATATATATATAGAGCAAGTACGCTGATAAAACAAATTCATAATAAGCGTTTCCATAGCAATGTGATTATGAATGTGTGCACATGCTCATTAGAAACTACAGCAGTGCATCCAACAATAAAGGCAGCAAGGAGCTTCGTTTAAGCAGTGAACACAGTAGCACATAAAGAGCTCCAACTCCACATGCTGATCAGTTTTAATATGGCCAAAGTGAACACATATGCGGCCCGAATACTCTGGGCAGTTTCTAACGAGCTAAAGGGGACAAAGACAAAGACTCTCTGTGTACTGTCGCCGATACGTTTCGTAAAGAGGGACTGCAGTAGAACCTTTTGCTAATTGCTTCCAGTCCAGCATGTTTGTAGAATGGATTTTCACTCGTTAGGATTCAGCCGCGGTGGGTTTTTTGTATCTGGCTGCTTATGTTTTCTTTATGATCTGTAACAGAGCTGTTGAAATTGCCTGTCTGCTCCAAGACATATTGTAAATGTCAGACTCCACAGAGGATGATGGATATAGAAAGAAACAAAGATGCTCTCTTTCATTCTGCTTGACAGCGCGTAAGGGCAAAGCTCTGAATGTATTTCTCTTTCTCTCTCCGTCTTTGTTGTTGCTACTGCGCAGTGCGGTAGTGTTGGAGTCTGGCGTGAGGGATTTTTTGACTCATATAACCAAATCTGCACCCTTAGAAATCACTATCACCACCAGCAATGACAGAAGCTTGAAGTAACCTTTTAATGATTATTAAATTATTCCTTAAACTGGAGTTTTATCAAGTATACATTTTAAGAAGAGGAGGTATTTTATTAAGATTCAACTTTGATGACATGTTAATGTTTTTGCATTGACCAAAAAAAAACATTTATTACATTTTTGCCATGTTTTAGTCAATTTTTCACAACAAAACTCACAGAAAAATGCTACAGAATGTACAATCAAATATAAATGCTCACTTTTTGTTTATATTTAGGATCCCCATTAGCTGCTATCAGAATAGCCGCTATTCTTCCTGGTGTCCAGTAGACACAAAATAGTACAATAACAAATATATCAACAAAAACAAATCATACAAAATATGGATAAAAAAAAAAACAAAGAAAAAAAACAGAAACAAAACACGAAAAATGGATAATAACTTATTCGGCCAGCTGTCCTTCGCTTGTACAACACTGAGCAGGAGTCAGAGACCACCCTTCATGTATTTAATTTCCAGTCTAAATGGCCATTAAGTACAACATATTTTTCAGCATCAGGAATAAAAAATATATATTTCACAGGAAATTATACAGAGTCCTCAACAATTAAACATACCAACATTTTTAATATTTCAGTATTTCACCTTTTCTTCAGTACAGCTTCTGTTCTTTCTGGTCGATTTGCTTTGGATTTTTCAAATAAATCTGCTGGAATATTTTCCCACCTCCAAAGTTCAGTCTTAGGAGTTGGTTGTATTTTCTGCTTCTCAGCATCCAAATAATTCCAAACACATTTAATGATGTTGAGGCATGAACTCCATTGTTCTGAGAACACCAGCAGCTTCTTTGTTTGCAAATGTTCTTCTTGTTTATCTATTTCCTTCTCTCAGAAATGGCTTCTTCACATGATAACTGTAGATTAGTGTTAAAGTCAGATATATGAGACGTTCGTCATCTCCACTCTTATTTCTCTGTCTGTATCTCTGTAGAGCAAAACGACTATCAGGCCCAAGCAGCCGTTCCATTACGCATGGAGACGCATGGAGGGGAAGACGTTGCGGTTTTCGCCAAAGGCCCAATGGCGCACCTGCTGCACGGCGTCCAGGAACAGAACTACATCCCCCATGTCATGGCCTACGCGGCCTGCATCGGTCAAAATAAAGGCCACTGCCGATCTGGAAACAGCGCAACATCCGTTGCAGTTGCTCCACCCAGTCTGGCTCTGCTCATCACAGCCACCTGGCTTCTCTGCTGACCCCTGTAATGGCCAGTTGGCCTCCTCATGCTATATTTAGAGTAGAGATGGTCTAGTCTGAACTGCTCCAGATGGATTTTATGAGATTTTATAAGAAGGGTTTTTAAAGCTGTGGTATGAATAGGGGTCCTGGAGGTCAACAGTCCAGCACAGTTCAGTGTTTGAGTCTGAAACACAACTGATTCACTAACTCACTGGTTAAAAAACAACACTAACAAGGTTTTTAATCTGCTGTCTTTCATGTTTCTGGGTTAAGAGTCTCTGGTCATCATGTATTGATCATGGATGAGTCATTAAGCTGATGAAAAGACATCACTATTGGATTCACTCATAATCAAAAGACAAACACATGATAAAGGACTGGATTGCGTAATTTCATTGCCGTTGCCCTTTAATTACGAGGGTTAGCAGATGTGTTAGAGCAGAATCATTGGAACTGTGCTGGCCTGTCCACCAGCAGGAATGGAAAACAGTACCCTTGTTTTTAAACTTTGGAACCACCAGCTGGTGCATTTAAAAAGAAAAACATTTGTGAGACTCAGACTTGATTTAGAGACCTAAAGGGAAAGGAAGACCATGAAAGATGTCATTTTAACTGTTTTTAACTCTGTGTAGTTCACAGCTATATAAAGTCATTCCAAACTTGGTTTAACACACTTTCAAACTGATCAGAGTAGCAAAATTGCTGGAACAAGTTTTTATTTTTCTATATTTCGGTTATTAAATGCGCCCCACTATTAGTATTATCTCATGGACAGTTGTCTTATTTCTGGTATTTCTGATATTTCTGATTATGTATTTCTGATACCTGAAATCCAATGAGAGTTATAAAAGTCCACCCTTCAGCTATTTAATTTGCACTAAAATGGCCATTATGTACAAATTGTTTATCTTTCAGGAGATATTTCTGTAATCAGATATAAGAAAATCCACTGGCTTAACGAAGGAGAATGTCAAAGGAACATAAGTAAAAACGTTTCTGATGCTACAGTTCAGAAAATGAGTAAAGTGGGCCTCCTAACAGCCACCTGGAAGACCTGGTAGACCCCAAAACTGCTTCCTTTAGATAAACAGATAAATCTTTGAGAGAGAGGAGAAAATCAAACTGCTGCAGATCTGAAAACATCCACAGGTGTTTCGGTCCATCCTTCCACCGTGAGAAGACTTTGGGTCATAAGAGGCAGAAAATCCAACCAACTTCTAAGAACTTTGGAGATAATTTTTTTCTGATGCTGAAAAACGTTTTCGACTGGAAATTAAATAAATGAAGGGTGGTCTCTGACTGTGTAGACTGCATGTTTTGGAACCCCTAATTATAGTATTTTATTAATTGTAATTGGAAATCAGATGAAATCTACCTCAGTATGAGTTTATTACTTGATCTGTCGTTCATCTAGGAAAAGGGGCGGTCAATCAAAAAGACATATTTTTTATACATTAACTATGTATTGTTTCTGAACATTGGTTAAAAGGATACCAGATGGAATGGAAACTATTTTTCTAAGAAGAAAATGAAAAAAGTATGTTCCCCTGCCAATAAAGCCTGTTTTTTTTTGTTTTGTTTCTTCCTAAATCCTGTGTTTGCGTGCTTCATCTGCAGAGCGTAGTATGTGGGTTTGATTAAACTTCTTTATGTCTTCATTCCTGTACGTCGTGAGTCCTTTCCAGTAAACTGAAATAAACTGTGGACTAGTGATGAAACGTCAGTGGACTTTAATCACAGTTTAACTCATTTGTTCTGGACCGTTTATTTCAGCGCTCAGTGGGTGGACAGATGCAGATTTTTGGTTGAAGTGACAGGAGAGGGATGGCCTTGCCTGTGAGACACATTTGGTGATGAAATGAATGGGGGGAGAGCAGGTCAGCAAGCTTAGTCCACTTTTCTTTATTCTGGATCACGAAGGAATCTTTGATCCAGCTTCAAATGGAAAAACAGAGTGCAGGGAGTTCGAAAGGCTGCAGGAATTCCACACATTGAAGTGAGAGAGTTTGAGGTAAGACTTTTGTGTGCGTGCCACTGTGTTTCACCTGGCGATGGTCGCTGGTGTGGTTAAAGTGGAATGTGTGAGGCCCCAGGCTGTGACCACTGAAAGAACAGTGAGACGCCTCATTTTTATGACTTGGATAAAAACCACTTCAAGGAATCATATCATAAAATAAAGATATTTTTCTTAGTTTATTTCAATTATAATATTCATAATGATATCATTACACAAACAGCCTGTTTTGAATTCACAGCGTCTTTGATGTCGTGACACATTAATTTACATCCGCATATTCAGTCTATAGTTTACAGTTTAGCGCCAGTCATTCACAGTTAAGTTACAAGGAGCTTTACAGCTTAAACTGCTTTTTCAGTGAAATGCAATGCAGAACAGCCAAACTGTCCATTTTATCAGCTCCACTTACTGTATAGGTGCACTTTGTAGTTCTACAGTTACAGACTGTAGTCCATCTGTTTCTCTGATACTTTGTTATCTTGTTCTTCAGTGGTCAGGACCCCCCATGGACCCTCACAGAGCAGGTACTATTTGGGTGGTGGATCATTCTCAGCACTGCAGTAACACTGACGTGGTGGTGGTGTGTTAGTGTGTGTTGTGCTGGTCTGAGTGGATCAGACACAGCAGTGCTGCTGGAGTTTTTAAACACCTCAGTGTCACTGCTGGACTGAGAATAGTCCACCAACCAAAAACATCCAGCCAACAGCATCCTGTGGGCAGCGTCCTGTGACCACTGATGAAGGACTAGAGGATGAGTAACACAAACAAATTGCAGCGACAGATGAGCCACTGTCACTGTACATCTAGGTGGAGCTGATAAAATGGACAATGAGTGTTAAAAGAGGCAGGTGGTTTTAATGAAATGGCCAGTCAGTGTACATGTTGGCTCGCAATCTCTGTTCTAGTTCATCCCAAAGGTGTGTGATGGGGTTGAGGTCAGGGCTCTGTGAGGGTCTGTCAGGTTCTTCCACACCAAACTGACCCAGTCAGGCCTTTATGGAGCTGCTTTGGTCACTGGGACTCAGTCCTGCTGGAACAGGAAAGGTTCTTCCCCAAACTGTTCCCACAAAGTTGGAAGTGTTCAATTGTCCAAAATGTCTTGGTGCTGAGTCATTAAGATTTCCCTTCACTGGAACTAAGGGTTCTAGACCAACCCCTGAAAAACAGCCCCATATCATCATCCCTCCTCCACCAAACTCTACAGCTGCACAGTGCAGTCAGGCAGGTAACGTTCTCCTGGCATTCGCCAAACCCAGACTCGTCCATCAGACTGACAGATAGAGAAGCTGATTGGTCACTCCACAGAACACGTTTCCACTGCTCCAGAGTCCAGTGGCGGCGCTTTACTCCACTCCATCTGACACTTGGCATTGTGCTTGGTGATGTAAGGCCTGCATGCAGCTGCTCAGCCATGGAAACCCTGCCTTGAAGCTCCCGGCTCAGTTTCTGTGCTGATGTTGATGCCAGAGGTTTGAACTGTGCAGTTGCTGAGTCAGAAGAGTGTTGGTGATGTTTATGTACAATAAAGTATGTTAAGATTTGTGGTCTGACACTTCATGGCTGAGACGCTGTGGTTCCTAAATGCTTCTACTTTTCAATAATACACTCAAAGTTGATTGTAGAACGTTTTAAAGGCATGAAATTTCACAAACTGGCTTATTGCAACGGTGGCATCCTATTACAGCACCACACTGGAACTCAGTGAGCTCTTTAGAATGACCCATTCTTTCACTGATGTGTGTAAAGTCAGGCTGCAGGGCTGGGGGCTTTATTTTATACACCTGTGGCAGTGAGACTGAATGAAACACCTGAATTCAGTGATTAAGAGGTGTGTCCCAATACTTTTGTCCAGATAATGTATATCAGTTTTAAAGACACAGTAACAAAAACAGAGTGAGGATGAAAAATGATCATGTGAAAATAAATGACGATGCGGCCCAGAAGAGGCATTGTTGCTCACTGACTGACCGATTGACTGACCGAGTCATTTGTTTAAAGCGTGCATGCACAGGAAGTGCAGATAGTCAAATAGAGTGTCAGATTCAATCTAGCTAACGTTAATTAGCAAGCGACTTACCTGGGGCAACTGTAGAGACCAGAGGTAGGTTAGCTAAAGCTGTGACCCCTGACGAGGCGGGTTTTGTAGACGGCCACACATATTGTTGAATTAAGTTAAAGGAAGTGTGCAAAGACTTACCGTGGCATGAATATGTTTATAGCTGCTGAACGTGTTCTGAGCTTAGCTAGCCACATTTCAACTGGGGCTAAACTAGCTAGCAGTGTGCCTGAACAGTTGATTTTCATCAAGAAGAATGAATTCTATCTTTCGGACTGAACATGAGTGACTTGAAATGCCATTGAAACTTGTGTGACAAAGGCTGTGCAGCTGATGGCGTAGCACTTAAACCCACACCATCACACGTCACGTGTGCAAAAGCATTCCATGTACAAGAAACAATGTGTATTATATAATATATTATATATTATAGTATATAAACCAGTTTCTGACCAGCTGTGGTGCTACGGTGCTCTCTTTCCATTGATAGAAAAGGTAAAGAAAGATTGATAAATTTTGTAGCAACTGTTGAGCTACAGTCAGCGATTATACCTACAAAGTGCACCTATATGTTGGATGTTTCTGATAAAAAGAGGAGTGCGTAATACAGGGTGATTAGAAAACATTAATCCGATTTCAAAGCGCCATATTTTTACAACCGTGAGGCGCTGAGGAACCAATCACAATCCAATTGAAAGAGGGGGTCATAGAGCTTCTGACTGGCTCCCTTCAGTCTGAGAGGAGATGAGACCCCTGAGCAGAAAGTGTTCTGCGTTCTCCACTTCAATAAGAGTGAATCCGTCATAACTGCGTGATTTTCGTGGGCAGTGAACCTCCAACAGCTCAGAGTGTTCGTCGTTGGTTCCACAACACTGGATGATCTCCGAAATCACACTGAAGGAGCCGTGAGTGCAGCGTCACCCGACATGCTCAATCCAGTATGGGATGAGTTTGACTGTGTTGATGTTGTCTGTACAGCTGGAGGAGGTTCAGACTGAGACCTTGTACAATTACATAATAAACTTTATGCTCATTTAAACCGTTTACAGTTATCTGTGATGATTTACAAGGGAAATAAATAATTTTGAAATCAGAAATTGAAATTTTGAACCTTTTTGAATCACCCTGTATAATAAACTCATATCTAACGTCCTGTATTAGTTGCCCACCACAGCTTTATTCTCACAATTTGCTATTAGACTTTACCATCAGCCACTGGTTCATCCTCAGTCTTTCCTCTGCAAGATCTGAATGTCTCTTTTCAAGCTTCTGACTGTTATATGTGTTTCCTAACTGCACTATCAGAGGAGAACGAGTTCCTGTTTAGAGTCCTGGCTCCTCTCAGTGTTTCTGGAACACTTCTTGTTGAATAAAACTGAAGTAATTTGAACTATGACCACAATCGCGGTCAGAGATGGCAGGATCTTTTTGATGGTGACTGGAATGTTACCTAACAAAACGTTCTGATGGGTTTATTATGATATATGATATTATGATGATGGCATAATGACATAAAGTCATAATGGCATGAAGGAAACAAGAGTTTTGATTGTTTATTATGTCATAAAGACATAAACTGTAAGATCAGTCTTTTACATTTTAGACCTTCTTTCCTGACATGACCTGACAAATTAACCCAACAATGGGAATTAGTTCAGTAGAATTCAGAGGAACTAAGAAGCAGCTTCAAAAAACACTGTATATATAAATCATTCATCCAGGCTTCAGCTCTACGAGGCTCTCATCTGTATATCAGTATTCCAGTACAGACATACCAGCATACCAGTATAAACACTAGACTGCAGGTTACTGATAAAATTACTTTCACTGAAAAGCTTATGCAATCAGCACCACCTCCTTCTGGAGCTCGTAATCTTAACCCTAATCTTAATCATTAACTTCTTAAACTCTGAAGATCTGTATGTGAATCCATACCTCAGTTCCTGAATCTCGCAACTGGGTCATTCTACAGAAACGCCCATTTCTGTGTCCCTAGCGTTTACAGATGTATTACACTTGTTACATGTTAGGGTTACAATTTATTTACATTTTAAAATAAAACAATAAGTTATTTTAACAATTTCACCTTCTTGAGCCTCAATTCAGCAATATTGGTTTATAAATCAATTATCTAGAATTCCAATCACCACAGAAGAGCTCGTCCTCACAGTCATGTGTGAAGGCTGAGGCCATATTTTGAAGAAAAAAAAATACGTTTTTCTACAATTTTAAACACAATAATCTATACATGACTATGGAATATATAAATTAAATGACATAAAGAAAACAAATGGCTAATAAACATTATAAAATATATAATGAAAGCTGTCCCCAGGAATCGTGTCACTGGTGTCACTGCGTAACAAAAAATCTCTCATTTTGAAATAACAGTCACACTGATGACATCACTCGACTTCCTTTTACCTGTTTTCTGAGGATCTATGAAGAAAAGCTCATGGTGAGTCCACTGTGTCTTTCAGTTATCAGAGATTTTCTCATTCAGCTCATGATTTCATATGAAGCTTTTAGCTGAAGTCACTGGTGTGACCGACTTTATTCTGAGGTAATTGTGAAAAAATAGAACA